ACGAGGCTGTTGCCGGCTCCTAAAGCCCCTGTGATCTTCCCGCCCACTGTGGGCAGTGGCTCTAGGATGCAAGGGGCTCTGCGGAGTCTCAAACCCTCTGCAAACAGCGTCCTTTCTTCCCCCAGCTCTGGAAGGGGCCCTGCAGCGCTCCTCCACGCAACCCGACAATTCCTCCGACAGCGACTACGATCTGCACGGGGCCCAGAGGCTGTAAAGGTGAGCCGGTCCCCAGCCTGACCCCGCACCCCGGGGCCCCCCATAGCCCTGGGGTGAGCAGCAGCCACTCTGCGCCTCCCCCCAGCCCCACCCTGCCCTACATGAACAGAGGACCCCCAGCATCTTGATGCTTGTAAAGGAAAAGACAAACGCCAGCTGCTTAGGTTAGAGGAGCTGGTCTGGCAGTTAGAGCTTAACAATTGACTCTTGAACTCCATTCGGAAAGCCGCACAGGTGGCATCCCTAAGAGCTCCGTGATGGAGCCACACCCCTCTAGAGCTGCCAACCTGCCAGTGGGGAGAAGGAGCCCCGGTGCAGGATGGCAGCTGTCCCTGAGACGGAACCCGAAGCATGGGGCCTGCCCGCCACCTCCCTGCATGGCCTTGCCATGTCTTCCACTAACACATTTCCTTCTCACCCCACAGAACTGGGATCCAGATGCAAAAAACCAAGAGCCAGCCCTACTTGTCCTGAGAAAACTGTGCGTTCTTCAGTTAAAACAATGTCCCTATTTCTACCCGGGCCAGAACGTGGACAGAGGCCAGGACCCTCCCAGCCAGGCACTGCTGTCCCAAGTGGCAGGCCAGCTCGCACCCGGCTGCACCGCAGCCCACCACCCCTCCGCACATGGAGGCTGTGGTGGGCAGAGCCTCCAAACAAGCAGCCGTCCAGCTAGAGACTTGGGGGTGTCTGAAGGGTGCCCCCTTTCCCTGCCCGCTGGGGAGTGGCGCCTGAGTGGAATCGGCTTTGTCCTCAGACTCTGTCCCTGCTAAGGAGTGACACGGAGCTCGCGGGGGGCGGCGGGGGGGGAGTGCCTTTTGAGCATGTTCTTTGTAAATAGCACTTTTCCTCCTTCCTGACCACCTGAGCACTCCTGCCTCTTCTATGCAGCATCCACCCCTGTGCATCCCTCTGCAGCCATGGCTGCGCACCTGGGCACAAAGACAGCTCAGCACGTTCACAGCAGCTGCCAGCCAGGGGGCTGGCTGGGCACCAAGGCTCTGCTTTTGTGAGGCCTGACCCACAGCCTCACCCCATTCCCTCCATCTTGTGACTCCCCTCCCCAACCCCCTCATCTAAAGACACTATCCTCTCCAGAGAGCAGGGACCACTGGCATTCAAGCCCACAAGGCACCAGTGCCACCCAGGGCCCTGCACAAAGGGGCGCCTGGTAAACCCTAACCAACTTGCTCTTTGGCTTCACACAGCAGCGAAAAGTCCCAAGCTGAGGTGGTTTCAGCACATCACAGTTCATCTAACCCAAGAGTCAGAGCTGGGGCTGGTCACGTTCCTTTGGTTTAAATAACTCCCTTGACTAAAATAGACTCCTCTAGCACTCAGAGATCTTGGCCGTACACCTAATCCTGTGGGGCCTCGGCTTCCTTAACTACAAGCGAGAGGAGGAGGTCTACCAAGGGACCTCGGGTCTGATAAAGGGGGAGGCCAGGCGGAGCTCCCTGCGGCAGCTCCCTAAGGTAGTGAAGCAACGTGGAAACACACCTTGGGGCCGGGGCCTTTCTCCACGCCATATGATGCTATATCTCCTGGGAGCACAGGCATCAATGGTCCAAGCCACAGAGGCTAAGTCTGGAAGAGCAAAAGGGAGTTACTCGGATGTGGGGTGGGGTGTTCCCATAATCTGCTCATCCCTCTGTCCCCACCAACACCCTCCAACGAGGCCTTGCCTTCTGAGAGCCCCCGTGGCCAAGCCCAGGTCACAGATCTTCCCTTGACCATGCTGGGAATCCAGAAACAGGGACCACATTTATCTGCCCATATCTGGTGGAGGTGAGGGGACTCCTCACAAGGGAACTGAGAGGCTGCTCTTAGGGAGGGGCAAAGGATCCGGGCAGCCAATGTCTCCCATCAGTTCCTTTTTTTATAAAAGCTCTTTAATCTAGGCCGGGCGCAGTGGCTCACACCTGTAATCCCAGCACTTTGGGATGCTGAGGCAGGTGGATCACGAGGTCAGGAGTTCAAGACCACCCTGACCAAGATGGTGAAACCTCGTCTCTACTAAAAATACAAAAATTAGCCTGGTGCAGTGGCAGGTGCCTGTAATTCCAGCTACTCGGGAGGCTGAAGCAGGAGAATCGCTCGAACCCAGGCAGCAGAGGTTGCAGTGAGCCGAGATTACGCCACTGCACTCCAGCCTGGGCAGCAGAGTGAGACTCCGTCTCAAAAAAAAAACCTCTTTAATCTATAGTTTGGCCATCATACAGTGGCCTCAAAGCAACCATGGCCTACTTAAAACCCAAACCAAAAATAGAGTGTTTAGTTGGGGAGAAATGAGTCTTTAGAAAACTGTTTTTCAAGGGGTGGCAGGCTTGGGTGATGATGCAATGGAATAGAACCATTTTAGTCTTCAAGGTGCCGCTGAAGAGTTGCTGCCTTGGCTGGGGAAGAACCCACTGCTCCCCCTGCTAGTGCTCAGGGGGCTGGCATCCGTCTCCTTCAGCTGCAGAGGACACGCTGCCATGACTTCAACAACCTCCCCATTCCTGCAGCCCAACAGCCTGCTAGAGCCGGGCCACCGCTTCCACTCACCTGTGTGTCCCTCCAACCCTGCCCATTCCCTAAATTACAGTCCCAGGTAAATCATGTGACCTGGCCGATGAGTGTTTGTGTGTGCAACCCCCGATTCTAGCACATTAGGTCAAGGAAACGAGGACCAAGCAACAAGTGTGGCTTTCACACTGTCATATAGCTGGGCATGGTGGCTTACAGCTGTAACCCCAGCACTCTGGGAGGCCAAGGTGGAAGGATTGCTTGAAGCCAGACCAGACCAGCCTGGGCAACAAAGTGAGACCCCATCTTTACCATAAAAAAAGTTTTTAATTAGCTGAGCATGGGGCCACATGCCTGTAATCTGTTATTCTGGAGGCTGCTGTAAGAGGATCACTTGAGGCCAGGAGTTTGAGGCTGCAGTGAGCCATGATCTCGCCATTGCACTCCAGCCTGGGCAACAGTGAGAACTCCTCTCTTAAAAAAAAAAAAAAAAAAAAAAAAAAGGCTGGGCACAGTGGCTCATACCTGTAATCCCAGTACTTTGGGAGGCCAAGTGGGCAGATCACTTGAGGTCAGGAGTTCAACGCTAGCCTGGCCAACATGGCAAAACCCGTCTCTACTAAATATACAAAAAATTAGCCAGGCATGGTGGCACACACCTATAATCGCAGCTACTCAAGAGGCTGAGGCAGGAGAAACGCCTGAACCTGGGAGGCGGAGGTTGCAGTGGGCTGAGATGGCGTCACTGCACTCCAGCCTGGGCGACAGATGAGTAAGACTCTGTTTCCAAAAAAAAAAAAAAGCTGTCATGCATGCAGAGATGGGGGAGTACGGAGTGGAACGGAGCTGTAGGGACACGGCATTCACACGGCCTCACCATAGCCAGCACTGCAAAGTGTCCTAAGTTAGGACTCTTTGAGACTCTAAGCTTGCCGCCTAGGGTCTGCCCCCTGCAGGAGGTCCGCTGTGGTCTGGTGAAAGGCAGCCGGTGAGCTCCCGGGAGGCAGGGAGGGAGGCGTGAGGAGTGCCTGGGTGTGCTGCACTGAGGTCAGTGGCCAGGGAGAGGGGGAGCAAAAAGCGCAGGGTGGACATGCGGGCTGACCAGCTGAGGCAGCTCCACGGTCCTTTCTTAGGAAGTCAGCCCCTCTGTGTCCCCTGCCGCCACTCTGGCACCAACCCAAGGCAAGTGACTTGACTATGTGACTAGAGGGAGATTTGCAGCTTCTTCCTACAAAGCCAAGTTGCTTCCAGCTGTCCCTGATGTCCTGTGTCCTCAACCTTGGACACCTGCAAGGCAAGGCCAAAGTTCAGCTGGAGGTAAAGGGCAGTAAACACCTGACGGGAGCCCGGCGACTCTCAGCTGTGTCCTCCAGAGGCACTTCTGGCACCAAAAAGGCAAGGAGGAAATCCAACGGCCTGGTCCAAGTCCCACATCCTCCAAGGCTTGCAGCCTGGTCACTGAACCATCGCCCTGTGGTTTCCTCCCATTGAAACTGAGGATGAAAGGGCTGTTGGGAGGACTCCAGAAGATAATGTAACTGAAAGCACAGCACAGCCCGAGGCCCTGCTGAATATTTAACGCTAATGATTCTTGGCATCTGTAGGCATCCTCCCGTCACCTTGCAGGGAAGGAAAGGCGGAGGGCTGAGTCGAGGGACTGTTAGAAGCAAGGTCTCCAGACTCCCTCAAAGCTGCCCTTCCTGCTGAGCTGAAGATGCCCTCCCCAGCCTCGGGATAGGCAGCTCAGCAGCAGAGCTCGGGGTACCGCTGGGGAGGGAAGCAGGCTGGGCCACGGCATAGAAGACCGTTGGTGCCGCAGCCAGTTTAGTGACCCGCTGCCTCTGAGCACATCCTGCAAGGCCAAGTGAGAATTAGATGGGTCACAGGCCGACAGGCGGACGTCCCGCCAGCCCAGCAGGTGGAAGGAACACAGCGCCTCCCAAGTGCGCTGATTACCAGACGCCCCCTCGTGGCATCCTGTGGCCTCGCATGCCACCATTCTCAGCCCAGGACAAGGCAAACACAGGCTCCAACAGGAAAACAGCTAAGAAGGAAGGCGGAAGAGCAAGAGAGGGAAGATAAATGCTCTAAGGGCCAGCCCTGGGGCGAAGTGGCAGGGAAGGGCTGACATCCAGATGGACGGGGCTTTAGGACCTGAATCACACAGTCCCCCTCCCCCTCCCACCAAGAGAGCATGATCTGAAGGCTGCAGAAGAAATCAAGGCTCCCACATGCAGCCACATCTTCACTCTCAAACCCACCTGCACCACATCACATGTGACTCATTGAAGTTTATTACGGCAATTAATTACACAAACATACAGGCGATCCGTCGTCCAGCTCAGAAGCACTCAAACCAGTAGAGTCCATTAGTGATTTCTCTTTATAAATAACTTAGGAGAAGCAAGCACATTTGGTAAGGAACCGGCAGCGCTGACATAGCGTCACGCAGATGGCACGAGGCAGGCCGGGGAGGGGCAGGCACCAGAAGGTCAAGAGCCCTCCTTGGCCCCAGGAGCCCCAGGCCCACCAGATGCTGGGTTCTCAGGTAGTGGACATTTCAAGGCACGTACAACTTCCTAAGCAATAGCAGCTCCAGGCCCTTCCCTGAGACCTGGTTTACCTCTGGAACAACGAAGTTAACACTCAGCACACCCCCTTTGTCTACTGTCTTCATTCTTATTACTGAACCTGCCCAAAACCACACAGGGCAGGGGGCTGTGTATTAAACAGAGTCATAATCCCCGCCCTTTACATTCTGAAGACAGGGAGGTGCAAAGCAACTGCCCCTAATGTAGTGATGGTGTTTTTTAAAAGCACCATTTGGGAAGTTAGGTTAGGGCCTCTTTTGACGTCTGTCTTAGGATGGACACTGGGGGTGGGAGGATTCCATCAAAGGAGCGAGGGGAGGGGAGGTGAAGGGAAGGGCTGCTTGTGAATGAGAATCAAGGCACTAAAGGAGAGGATGGATGTGTGGGCCTCGGGCAAAGTCACCCTGAAGTGGAGGGCCCCAGAGGAGAGAAGGGTGGCTGGGGAGGTGACCTGGCCCTCCACTCCTAAACAAGCCCCCATGTGACCACAATCTCCAGGCCTAGAGCTGCCCCCTTCCCTCCGGCCAGAGGGCCCAAGGCAGCGCCCTGGCTTCTCCAACCAGGGCAAGCCAGGTCCGGGGGCAACCTTCACAACCCCCAGCCCTCATGCTGCACTGGTGCTGCCCCAATGAAACAGGACACAGGACAAGCTTGTCTGACATCAGCTACCAGAGTGAAATTATGGCTTTATAGGACTCAAACCTGTTGTTTTTCCCAGCTCTGTTCTCTCCCTCCAATCCAATCCCGGCCGCAGTGCGTGGGAAGGCCAGCCTTCAATGAACTGGACAGATGCCAACAGCTGCACCCCTCAGCATGAGGCTCCACAACCAATACGCCAAACCCCAGGAGAGACAGAGGGGACTGGAGACCCAGGGCCTCCTCCTCGAGATACCTCTGGCACTGGGTTCAGATGGCCCTGAGTGCGGCCACAAACAGATGCTCATAACTACGTGCACGCACTCACTCACAGACACTTGAGAGGTGCTGGGCTCCCGCCTGGCTAGCACTTGCAGCCAGGCACTGAAAGGAGGGGCTCCCAGGAGGACCTCCAGCCAAAAAGCCAGCAAGTGCTGTGACCAGTCACATAGCCCAGGGCCTGGTCCCTCCAAGGCCTCTGTGTACCAACGCAAGTCCACAGGGAGCACCAATGCCATGTCCAGTGGACCCTCGAATCTCGGCAATGGCTGGGCCAAAGGTTGAGCGTGGGTGGGACTAGGGAGGGGCCGAGGGCCAGGAGTGTGTCTAATAGCCAGGCCAGGCAGGCCCCTGGGGCTGTGGAAACCCATAGGGAGGAGCAGGCCCAGGGGGATAAGGGGGCTGCGGAGGCATGGAGGGCTGGGGCTGGCCTGGGAAGCCAGGGAGCTGGGGCTGTATTGGGTAGGGAGGTTTTCCTCCTGCTTCAGGGTATGGGGACTGTTGAGGATAACCAGGACTGGGGACCCTGCCTCCCGCCACGGGGTACCCTGGCCCAGAGGCACCAGTCGGGGTCCCAGGATAGCCCAGCCGGGGCGGTGTGCTCCTCTGTGGGGACCAGGAGTAACCCGCAGCAGCCCTGGGTCCAGGCTGGGCTGCCGGGTAAGTGGGGCCCAGAGGCCCACTGTAGAAGGAGGGCTGGGACACCACCGGGAAAGGGGCGGGGGGGAGGGCTCCATGGGCAGTGGGGCCCACAGGCAGGCTAGGGGACGGGCTGTAGGGCAGAGGGTAGGGAGGCATGGCCGATGGTGGCGGCTGCGGCTGCTCTTCAACCACAGGGGGTGTTGCCTGGGGTACTGGGCGCGGCGGTGGTGGCGGCGGGCGGGGTGGAGGGGCATCGCCGGCCAGCTCCTGGGAAGCCCTGGGCTTCCTCACCACTTCCTGGAGCTTTTCCACACGAACCCGGCGCAGGTGGGACAACATCCTCATGGAGGAAAAATTCTCCAGGAACGTTTCCAGGGGCACCTCGCCCTCCAGGAACTTCTCAGCCATGGCCTGGAAGACATAAAGTCCAGTGACAACAGGAGCCAGCTAGGATCAAGGCCTCTTGTTTTTCCCTGGGGTCCAAGTTTGGCTGCAGCCCTCCCACCTTGTACCTCCTCAGGTGCCCACTACCCTTCGCTGGCCATGTGCCCCTTCTCACAGCTGGCATATGGTACATGCACTGTCTCCCACACTGGAATGTCACTCCCTTGAGGGCGAGACCTGTCCCTGTCGTGGGCACCTCTGTCCAGGCGCCCTGGCATCATGCCAGGCCCACCGTCGCCACTGTACATATGTGCTAAACACCTGGATGAGCACTAGCCCAGGGGCCAGGAGGGCCTGGAAGCTTCTTCCTCCCAGACACGGAGGAGTGGGCAGCGCCAGCTGCCCACAGGGGCTGAAGAGGTGCCTGGAGGGGAGCAGGAAGCAGGGAGAATGGAGTGGGGGACTGGCCTCGGTCCTCGGGGGACGCCTGCTGAGCTGCCCTCCCATCCAGGACTGCCAGCCGTCCTTGTCCACTGTCACCCATTTCTGCTTCAGCTGGTAGGACTGGGTTCCTGTTATTTGTATCCCAAAAGGCCACCCGGGGACTAAAGATGTCCTTCCCCTCTGCAATCTATGAAAGCTCCCTTGTCCCATGCTTTGCAGACAGACATCTGCTCCTCTTCCAAGGGCTCCTGCTGCAGGGACCGACGCCCTGTCCAGGGAAGAGGGGTGTCGCCTTGCCTCTCACCTCGGACTCTTCTTCAATCTTCATGCCTTCCACCTGCAGAAGGTCTAACAAAGTCCCTGGCTGCAGTGCTGAAGAAAATTTCTCTGGAAGGGAGGGCAGAATGGCTGACATTTGAAAAGTGCTTCCTGATTCAGTGTCAAAGGCATTCTATGTCCGTCCAGGCCCAGCCACCACCCAGGGATCCACCAAAGGGTCCTTTCGAGGGGGCCTGATGGGTGCTTTTGGTCCAGTTCCTTAGACCACCTTCCTGAGCAGAGAAGGGCCCAACTGGACCCAGACTAGACCTTGGCCAAGCAGCCTCCCCTACACAGTCCTGGGAAAAGAAAGGACTCGGACTTCAGAGCCCAACTGACCCAGCTCTGCCTGCCAGCCAGCGGAGTTACCTAACCTGAATGTCAAGCTCTCTCACCATCAAGACAAGGACTGCCCTCCCACCTTCACACTGGGACACAGACACAGGTTCTGGGACACAGAGAGCCCAGAGCAGCTCAGCAAAGTGCAGAGGCTACGCTGCCAGGGTAACAGCAGCGGCAAAGGAGGCAGCTGTCTGGATTCAAATCCCAACTCCACCTACTTCTAAGCTGGCTGACCTCAGCCAAGTTCTTTAATCTTTTATTTTCCTTACCTATCACATGGAGTAACAGTACCCACCCTTCCAAGGCTGTTGTGAAAAAATGTACATAAGGCGCTTAGCACAGGGCTGGGAACACGGTGGGCCTCGGTAGCTACGCGCCTTGCCCGTCCCTGGGATGGGACAGAGAATCTATCCTTCACGGTGTTTCAGCTGCTCGGCCCCATCCAATCCTGAATGGGGACCCTGAGTTCACAGAGGGGCCACCCTACCCAACTTTGCCTTCTGCTCCTGGCACCGCTCCACGAGCTTCCGGAGCTCCTGGTATTTATCCGAGAGGTTTGAACGGCTGATCTCCAGGGGTCCCTGGAACTCCAGGTTCTGCTCGGCCAGGCTCCGGTTGGTGGCCAGTGCCATCTCCCGTTCCAGCTGCAGGTCCTGGACCTAAAAGGGCAGGACAGCAGACCGTAAGGAAAATGTCCATCACCATCAACCTTCCGGCAGCACAGGTCAGGGGCTTCACGGGCACATGGCTGGCTCACCTTGGGGCGGAGAGGCTCATCTTAGGGCGATACTCAGCTCTCAAATAGTCAGATAAAGCCGAGTTCAAACCCTGAGCAAAGTGCTCTGCGCCTCGCTTAACCCTTAACCCGCCACCCACGAGGTGGAGACGCATGGGAACCTGGAGCTGAGGGTGAAAAGGCAACATGACTGACACTTAAGATGGAGTGTGCAGAGCCCCAAGGAGGCGGGGACCAATTTACATGAGAAAATCAGAGGCTTTCTAGGAGGAAAGGAACAAAAAGTCCCAACTTCTTATCCCCAAGCTTCAGAGTCCAGAGATCTACCACAGTGGCCTCCAGTGGCCCTGGCCAGATGCACAGGCAAGACATGCAATGAGGTCCAAAATCAAGTTACTCTGAGGGGTGAGAGCCCAGGCCCCAGACCAGACCACGCTGCTGACTCAGGAGGGACCTGGACCTGCCTCCTATGCGGCACATGTGTCCTGCAAAGAAGCTGCACAGACGAGCCAGAGGGGCCACACTGGACATTCCCTGCTGAAGACACTTCCCCAGGCCAAGCAGCACTTTTCCCCTCTGCCAGGCTCTTCGTCACTGCCAGCCAGTGCAGCAGAAGCCAAGGCACCCTTCCCAGTTGTCCGTGACCTGATGCCCCGGGCACCTGCCAAGGGGGAGGGCCGAGGAGTCAGATCCACACGCTGAGACAGTGGTGACGGTACACTGACAGCACGACGGGACAACAGAAGAGAGGCCTCAGTAGCCACCACAGGGTGTAGGGAACAGCTCGGCAAGACTGACTCTGAGTCAGGCCCTGCACGGTGCAGCTTCTCCGCCGTGGTTGCATGTGACGGACCAAGCCAGACTGGCTCATGCCCCACCAGACACAGGAAGCCCGTGGGCATTCTGGAAGAGGCCTCAGGGAAAGCCTGCCCCTCCTGCTGTCCCAGCTACAGGGGCCCTGGCCCTGCACTCTGGGGCAGGCCCATAGCCTCTTCTATGTGCCCCAGATTGGAAAGAAGGCCGCCACAGCTCCCTGCCCTCCCTGAGCCCTCCAGATGAGGCTGCCAGGGTTCAGGGACCGTAGGGTCCAGGGGTCTATCCAGCCTACAGCCCATGCAGCTGCCTTCTAGAGACATGGTCTCAATTCTGTTGTCCAGTCTGGAGTACAGTGGTACGATCACAGGTCAGTGCAGCCTCGAACTCCTGAGCTCAAGCAATCCTCCTGCCTCAGCCTTTCCCGTAGCTGGGACTACAGGGACACACCACCATGCCTGGCTAAGTTCTTTTATTTTCTGTAGAGATGGGGTTTCCCTATGTTGCCCAGGCTGGCCTCAAGCAGTCCTCCCATCTCATCCTCCCAATAGCTGGGATTACAGACACAAACCACCATACGTGACTCTCAATCTAGCTTGGATTCGCCATGGACTTTACTTACACGGCTGACCCAGGGTGAAAGGCCTACGGCGCTCCTGCTCACCCATCCCCTGCAGGGCCTTCCTATACGCCCACTGCCTTTCCCTGCGTCTAAACCAACACATCTATGCAGCATCGTTTTCCCCTAAATCTTGCCCTACTCATTTCTGCGCCCTGTTCCCACAGCCTTCCCAATCTTTCTCCGTGAAGTGGGTCAATGGGTAGAAACATACAGTTAGATAGAAGAAATAAGTTCTAATGTTCAACAGCAGAGTGGCATGACTATGGCCGGCAATAATGTATTGCGTATTTCAAAGTAGCAAGAAGTGTGAAATGTTCCCAACACAGAGAAATGGTAAATACTCAAGGTGATGGAGACCCCAAATGCCCTGACCTTATAATTACATATTCTTTTCTTTTTTTGAGACTGAGTTTTGCTCTGTCTCGCAGGCTGGAATACAACGGCATGATCTTGTCTCACTGCAACCACCACCTCATGGATTCAAGCGATTCTCCTGCCTCAGCCTCCCTTGTAGCTGGGACTACAGGCATATGCCACTATGCCCAGCTAATTTGTATATTTTTAGTATAGACGGGGTTTCACCATGTTGGCCAGGCTGCTCTCAAACTCCTGACCGCAGGTGATCCTCCCACCTTGGCCTCTCGAAGTGCTGGGATTACAGGCGTGAGCCACCACACCTGGCCTGATCATTACACATTCTATGCATTGCAACAGACTCCCATCTACCTCATAAATATGCAAAATGTGCATCAGTTTTAAAAATTGCATACTGATGCACATTAGGGGTTCAGTGTGAAGTCCTCCCAGTCACTGAAAAGAGGTAAGACTAAAAATGGGTAAATAAAAGCTGTTTCCACATGTTTGGCTTTGGTATATTACTTTGGTGGAAATAAGCAGAGAGAATCTATACTCATACAGATATTTATACTCATACAGATATTTATGGGGTAGATGTGAGTCTTTGTTGCATGCATAGAAATGTGTCATGATCAGGCCGGGTGAAGTGGCTCATGCCTATAATCCTAGCACTTTGGGAGGCTGAGGTGGGTGGATCACCCTCGGTCAGGAGTCTGATAGCTAGAAAAGGAAGGAGTTACTACTAAACTTTACAGACAATTATGAATTTTCTTTGAATTTACAGCAAAACTCAGCAAGAAGTATCTAATAGTTCTTAAAATTACAATGTGAAATTTAAAAATTAGCCAGGTGCGGTGGTGTGCACCTGTAGTCCCAGCTACTCAGGAGGTTGAAACGGGAGGACTGCCTGAGATCAGGCGGTCGAGGCTGCAGTGAGCCATGATGGCACCATTGCACTCCAGCCTGGGCAACAAAGTAAGACCCGCCTAAAAAATAAAAATTTTAAAAAGTTGCAATGTGGGAGATAAAACCATTCTAACTTTCCTTACTAAGTTGCAATGTTGTTTTTCTCTGTCTGGCCCCCAACACAAAGCAGCTCCCCGCTCACCCCACTCCATGCACAGCATTCTACGTGGAGACAGCCCCTGCCAACTCTCTTCTCTCCAAGCCGTGTCCATGTCCCAGACTAAGACAGAGCTCCTGTCTCCTCACAATCCCACAGTGACTCAGTTACCATCTCAGAACCCACAACAGAAAAGCCCCAAGTGGCTTGTCCTGCTTCATTTCCACCGGATCCACCGGTGTTCTGTCTGGCAGAGAGTTCAGATGAATGGGACAGGTGTGACTGCACACCACAAAATTCAAGTGCCTTCTGCCCAAGAGGTCGCCGCTGCTCATTCTCTGTGATTCTCTGCTTTGCCACGACTCTGTCAGCCTGCTCAGCCCTGCATACTCTAGCAGCAGGCCTTGGGCTTCCCATGGCACCATGCTCTCGGTGCTTAATATGACAGAGGACGGCAGGCAGAGCCGCACTGTGCCCAGCACCAGGCCAGCCAGGAGCCACGCCCTGCCAGAGCTCACAGCCTCACTGACCATGTGAGTGGCCCCAGGGCTTAGACAAGTAGGCTCTGCTCCATGTCCTTGCTGAGGACTGAAAAAGCCTTAGGGTGAGAGGATGTGCCCACGGTGCCCACCTCTCCTCACACTCTGCCCACCAGGAGGTCTTTTCAACTCCATGTTCAGTCACCAACAACCCCGGTGAGATTCCTCACTTGGGCAGTAGGGCAGGCTGTGGGCGGCAAGAGCACACACCAGAACAGAAGCAGGGGACTCACGCCTGGCACCCCTACGCATGGAAGCACGGAGACACTAGATGGGGGAGTGTCATTATTTTTTTCAAAATACCGCAAGTTCACAGAAGAGACGCACCATACCTGCTCATCCAAGCAAGTAAAAGTGTACTCCAAATGCAAACCAAAGGAGCTGGCATTACTTGCGTTTGTGTCTGTCCCTCACATTAGGGACAGGAAGCAGGAACTTCCAGATCAGCGGATGAGCTGCAGCCACTCAAGGGGTGACCGTGGGCATTTCTGGCTGAGTGGCCTGACCTCTCCCATCTCACAGGGGACATCCCAGGGTCACAGGAGATGCTAGGGGCAGGGAACGTCCTTTAGTCAGTGTAAATCTCTGCACAGGCAGAAGGGTTCTGTTTGTTTCCACAAATACTCTGTGATGAAGAGGAAGAGGAGGAGGGTCCTGTCATGAGGAAAAACAGGATCAAATGGGAGACGAGCTACAACTCAGCCCAAGCACTGCTCCCAGAAGTCTTAGAGTCACCTGGAGAGACGGCATCACACAGGGCTCTTGGGGAAAGTGGGTACAAAACCATACCAGTGCTTTGAGGAGCTGCCTCCAGATCTGGGCTGGAACGACAGTGTGGGGACTCCTGGGGTATCTGGGTCCCTAGAAGGCCCCAGGAGGCCCTGCCCTGCCCAGCACTGCCAAGAACTCCCAGGAACTGGTCTGAAGCCTTAGGGATTCCTCTGAGTCCAAAGCAGGATGAAGTTCACAGAAAAGGGAGATGAATTTGGCTAAAACTCCCAAGAAGCCGGCACCCTTAAAAGCACCTCTTAACAAGCCTCATCTGCTGGCCTCTGTTGGGCCCCATCCCGGCCTCCCTCTACCTCAGGGGACTCCAGGGCCAGCCGGTCAATCGCCTCCGAGTCATTCTGCAACTCCTCCAGCTCCTGCAGAGTCTTATCCTTCAGTGTCTCCATCCTCGCCTGCAAACAGAGTGACATTAAAGTGAGGAACGGGCAGCCCAAGATAACCCCACTCCCTGGGGAGGCTCGAGGAGGGACGGAGATCTCTGAGAGCACATTCCTGCAGCTCGCTGCCCCACCTTCCCTCGGGTGCTAGATGGAGCTCCCCATGGAGCAGAGAGGAAAAGGCAGGAGGAGAGGGCCAGGCAGCAGGGACGGAGACTAAGTTTGGCCCAAGGCTGCCCGCAAGCACTGATGCCATCGTGGCCTCTGGTAGGTGTCTATTTCTGTCTGAACCAGAAATACGCCAAGCTCCACACAGCGGGGGGGCTTTGCTGGCTTTGACATCACCAGTTCAACTCTGTCACCACTTGTTATATTTAGTGTTCCAGAAACCTCAGGTTTCCCCCAAGAATTCCCCACAACGGCAGACCTCTCCATGTGTCACCAAAATGAATTGTCATGTGTATCCTCGTAGGAGCAGGGAAAAAAAAATCACCCAGCTGGCCTTGCAGGCAATCAGGAGGAAAAGAAATTGACCGACCCAAAGAGGACATCTGCTTTGATGGAGAGCTGGTGTCAGCGGCCCTCTCCCTGTCACTCTGCCCAGAGGGCCATCGATTGTCTGTGGTGGATGGGTCACAGCCAGGCCCAGCGGGGAGCCCCGGGACTGAAGGGAGGAGGCACAAATACACCCGGCACCTGCTTCCCTTCTGCTGGCAGGGTCCTCCATTTTCATCTGGCTTGTATCTTTTCCAGAGGTGAATTCCATAGCTTTTTTTTTTTTTTTTTTTTTTTTGAGACACAGACTCACTCTGTTGCCCAGGCTGGAGAGCAATGGCGCAAACAGGGCTCACTGCAGCCTTGATCTCCTGGGCTCAAATGATCCTCCCATCTCAGCCTCCTGAGTAGCTGGCACTATAGGTATACATCACCACCCCCAGCTAATTTTTAAATTTTTTGTAGAGACAGGGTCTCACTATTTTGCCCAGGCTGGTCTCAAACTCCTGGGCTCAAGCGATTCTCCCACCTTGGCCTCCCACAGTGGTGGGATTACAAGTATGCACCATCGTGTCCGGCCCCATAGCTTTAATGTTGGTTTTTCTCATTACAAAGGTTTAGTTTTCAAAAGATTCCACCACCACAACAATCTAGGGTCCTTCACAGCGCACCTGCACCAGCACTCAGCTAGGGTGAGCCAAGGCTGACGACCCAGCTGCGAAGGCATTCTACAATCAAGGACCAAGGTTACAGCTGTGTGGTCCAAAGCATCCTTCTCCAGGTCTCAGTTTTCCCCTTTGCAGTAGGAAGGAAACAGCATCTCTAGGGCCATCAGAAAGACAAAAGGAGAACTGAGAAACAATAAGCACATGTTCCCAGGTGCCCTGAAGTCCCAGTGTACTCCTGAGGGGAGCCCCCCACGCTCAAGCGTGCCCTGGTTCAAACATCAAATCATATGGCCACTGATAAGGAGCTATGCATATAGGGGTGTGACCTATATTTATCTCCTGAGGGTTAAAAGTAGCCCCCAACCTCTAAGCAGGGATTGCCAAACTTCAGTGTGTGCCTGAATTCCAGGAACGCTCACTGATGACACAGGTGGCCAGCCCTTCCCACACAGGTCTGCATCAGTAGGTCAGGGCAAGGCCGAGAAATCTGGAATCCCTCCTGGAGAGACTGACACAGGTGGTCCAGGGCCAGCTGCATCACAGTGGAGACCCCTGGTTTCTGAGCATGTGCCGCGTCAGTTTCCCCGGGCTGTCTCCCCTCCCCTCACAAGGAGAGGTAGCAGCAACCACGTCATATGCAAACAGGGCATCTGAAAGGTAGAAGTCACAGCCAGCAAATGGCAGAGCCAAAACTCAAACCTGCATTCTGTCCACACCTCACCTTACTGCTCCAAAAACCTCTTGGTCTAAAGCCCCAGAGCCAGGTTAGACACACTGGCTCACACCTATAATCCCAACATTTTGGGAGACCAAGGTAGAAGGCTCACTTGTGGCCAGAGTTCAAGACCAGCCTAGGCAATATAGCATCAGATTGTAAAAATTGTAAAATAAGAAAAATAAGAAAAGCTGGGCCAGGCGCGGTGGCTCATGCCTGTAATCTCAGCACTTTGGGGGAGGCCAAGACAGGCAGATCACCTGAGGTTAGGAGTTCAAGACCAGCCTTGCCAACATGGTGAAACCCCAAACCTACTAAAAATACAAAATTAGCCAGGCGTGGTGGCACACACCTATAATCCCAGCTACTCAGGAGGCTGAAGCACCAGAGTCACTTGAACCTGGGAGGCGGAGGTTACAGTGGGCAGAGATCATGCCACTCCACTCCAGCCTGGGCAACCAAGCGAGACTCCATCTCAAAAAAAAAAAGAAAAGAAGAAAAAGCTGGAGCAGGGGAAGAGCAGCGTGCAGACGGCCTGGGCTGGAGCAGAACTCTGGGAGGAACCCTGACAACACACCCCAAATCCAAACTCCAAAGAGCTGGCCACAGCAGGAGCGACACTGTGAAGATACCGAAACACATCAGGGGCCCAGGCTTCAGCCAGCCAGACACAGATCAAGACCAGGCCCTGCCGCAGGCACAGGCGGAACCTCCCTGAGCCTTGAGCTCCTCACCTGTAAAATGAGTCTCACACCAGCACCTCCCTCACAGGGTGGGTGCAAGGTTCAATGGGATGGCACAGGCAAGGTGCTGGCTCGGTGCCAACAGATTCCAGTACCACAGCAATGACTTCACATGAAGGCCCCAGCATGACCCAGCCAAGAACTCACCCAGCCACAGCACCTGCACCCAGACTGGCTCCACCCTAGGGGACACCCACCACAGAACACCTGCTCGTTCCTGCAGTCACGGCTGGGTGCCACAGGTGCAGCCGGGTGGAGGACAGAAGCTCCGTCTCAGGCAGCTGGCTGACCACACACAAGCAGCACAGTCAGCATCGCCATCTGGGAAAGCACCCAGCAGGTTCAGGACTCAGTCTCCTACACGGAGGTCTCCACGCGTGGGGAAGCCCCGAGAAGAGCCGAGATTCCCTGGGACAGGAACCAACTCCCCTGTCAGCTGTTTACCATGGGAATGTCACCAGATGTTTAACGAATATCATATTTAAGGCATCACAGCCTCGAACAACACATCCCAAACTTTTTGGTCTCGGGACCTCTGTTCACTCGCAATGTTTCTGAGGACTCCAAAGAGTGCTGTTTATGTGGATTATAGCTATCAGTATTTACCATGTTAGAAATTAAAAGTGGAAGAAAAGTTTTTTTGAAACAGGGTCTCACTCTACTGCTCAGGCTAGAGTGCAATGGCACGATCTCAGCTCACTTCAGCCTCAACCTCACAGACTCAAGCAATCCTCCCACCTCAGCCTCCTGAGTAACCGGGACTATAGGCATGTGTCATCATACCCAGCTATTTTTTTTTAATTTTTTTGTAGAGATGGGGTCTCACTATTCGATCCAGGCTGGTCTCAAACTCCTGTACTCAAGTAATCCTCCCGCCTCAGCCTCCCAAAGTGCTGGGATAACAGGTGTGAGCCACCACACCCAACCGAGAAATTTTTAAAATACAAGAACACGCAAGCAACACCTTCCATTAGCCACCAGAATGACAACGCGATCACGGGTCATGCAGCTTCTGAAAATACCCTGTATACTTATGCAAGAAAAGAGAGTGAAAAAGAAAATGTTGTCTCAGGATTATTATGAAAACCACTCTAACCTCATGGATGGCCTGAAAGGGTCTTTGGAAACCTCCAGGGGCCCTCTTGAAACACACTGTGAGAGCCACTGGTCTAGAGGTTAAGAGATGAGACTCTGGGGCCAGACTGCCTCGGTATGGAGCCAGCTCTGCCACTTACTAGCTGTGTCATCTAACCTCTTTGTGCCTCGGTTTCTCCATCTGTAAAACAGAGCAGCGTGTGGAACATAGTAAGCACCGCTAAGCATTTGCTGCTATGAGAACCCTGGCAACCATCTTACACAGTGGGCATCAATATCACCCCAGCCTCATGGGGGCGGCTGACAGAGTGATGTCACTTTAGAATGGCAATGCCTTAACTGGTCCAGGGATTCTCAACATGTCCCTCAGAGTCACCTTGAGTCCTTGTTTAAAGCCAGAGTCCTAAGTGCTCCTCCAGACCTAGAACTGTAGAATCTCCAGGATTCCTAATTTTTTTTTTTTTTTAAAGACAGAGTCTTGCTCTGTTGCCCAGGCTGGAATACAGTGGTGCAATCTCAGCTCACTACAACCTCTACCTCCCGGGTTAAAGCAATTATCTTGTCTCAGCCTCCCGAGTAGCTGGGATTACAGATGCCTGCCACCAAGCTGGCTAATTTTTGTATTTTTAATAGAGATGGAGTTTTACCATGTTAGCCAGGCTGGTCTCGAACTCCTGACCTCAAGTGACCCACCTGCCCCAGCCTCCCAAAGTGCTAGCATTGCAGGCAAGAGCCACCGTGCCTGACCAATTCTTAATTTTTAATCACCTTTTCATTTTAACTAGGCTACCTGGATCTGACTAGTTTGGCATCTATTATCTTATTTTTCCCTTTCCCTAACACTCTGAGGGGACTCAGGTGGACACAGCCCCATCTGACAGAGGAAGAGCAGAGACCCCAGGGCTTTGTCACCCAGTCATGGCAGAGGCACAAAGACAACACAGGCAATGCTCTTTCTACAGAGTGAGTCCCCACCCAGGACTCCGAGGGCACTTCCTAAGCCTTGGCTCTGTGCGGGCATGGAGGGACAGGTGACGCCCTGTCCCAGCACAAAACAGGCGGGACAGCTGACACCCAGGTGCAAAAGGCAGGGGTCTTTCATGCTGGGATTTGGTTCCAGATTTGCAGTCATGTGACAGTGCACATCGCAGAGGGAGGCAAAATCACACACTATCAAGACCAACGGGCAGAATGTCGTAGCCAGAGCTCACGAGAAGAGGGCCCAAGCTCCGGTCAGCTCCGCAGGTGAGAGTCACATGAAAATGGTGCTGCCATGATGTCAGGCTTCTAACAGGCCAG